AACGAAATGGGAACAGGATGCTGCTGAAGAGCTGAACCACCTGTTTCTTGCGACCAAGAAATGTGAGTGATGCAGCAGCAAGAAACGGGTGGAAAAGAAGCCAACAAGAATCAGGTGGGGAGGGTTTGGTTGCCATGGCGACACGGGCATGCACTTGACAAGAGATGCATTGGAGTGACACGTTGTGATGTATGGGGGATGTGGTACAGAAGTGCATGAGTGCTGCCGCCATTTCGTGCGAGCATGTCCTTGATTCAGTGCATGTGGTGAGGTCTTCTCCCCATCGTGTGCTGTCGAGCCAAGTCATGCGTTGAAGAGGGCTGTGACAGGTCCACTTCGCTGCAAAATGTCCAGTGTCCAGTCACATTTGCTCTAAACCACATCTTATGTTTCCCGGGAAGCCCCGGGAAGGTTCTTGTGCGGTGACAATGCATAGCACACTAGGGGGCATGGCGTGTGTGGTGGCGTGAAACATGGGATATTCACGTGGAACTATGTACACTTGTATGCTGCTGTCTCAGAGATATTCAAGGCACTTGTCCAAAAATAAGAGAAACTAGTATTCCAAGTCTAAAAAAATCAGAAAAATATTAAAACATTGTACAGGTGAATCCAAGATTTCCGACGTTATAGTCAAAGAAATCACTAAAACCCAAAAAAGAAAGAAAGAAAGAAAGAAAAAACCACAGTACAAAAACCAGTCTACTATACAAAAGGACTTATATTTATGATCCCGCTCCTAGCAGCGTAGCCTAGTATTTTCGGTGCAGACCCCATGATATATGGAATTTTACGCTGGATTTGCTTTCTTTATTTTTTTGGGTGTAACGACTCCAGTCAACACCGATAAATCAGTGTGGCATAAAACGAATTTAAGGGCCTGTTCCAGTGTGATGATTGAATTTGCAATTGCACAAGACCAGATATCTAGTGTGATGTTACAACAGCAACCCTGATGCTACAATTTCACGACATTTTTGGAATAGCATCGTAGCATCTGTGTAAACCCATTTCTGTAAAAGCATAATACAGCGACAGAAAGTATTGCCCGGATAATTGCCTTAAAACATTTCTCGTACTGGTTTGGTGCCTTCTTTGTTTAGTTACGAATCAAATTTCGGGGTTGGATGTAAAGTAGTACTGTACTGTATGTGACGGATGCTGGTTTCAGTTTTATAGGGGTCGATTTTTTACCGAGGATGAGATTTCGTCTGCGTGGGTGCATCCGGACAGTTTAGGCCAAGCAGCGTAGTAGATCTATTTCCTAACCTCGCTATTTCTTCTTACTTGCCCTCGAGACTATCGAGTAGTCAGGAGATAGGCTAGGACCGCTGCGATGATTAGGCCGTCATGAAACCGTTAGATGAGGCGCTCTACGCATAGATCATTCCCTTGTTGCGGAGGGGGTAGAGCAATCGTTGAATCGCTAAACAGCTAGCCATAGGGAAGAGTTCGGCCAATCAAGGCGATTGTAGAGTCTAGCCGCGATGACGTGCGTCCTACGATGCCCTCAGCCGGTCGCCCTCGCTTAGTGACAGAGAGAGTTCGCCGCGGCATAGTTCGGTTGATTACCCTCGAGGAGGCAGAAATCTCTGCTCACGTGGCGAAAATCGTTGAGAAGCAGCACGGCATCACGTTGCATCCTAAGACATTGCGTAACGCTTTGAATGGGAGCCGACTTGTCGCAATCAAGCATCCCAAGAAACCGCGACACTCTCGGAAAAACATACGCGATAGGCTGGAATGGGCGCGTGCCCACGCAGACTGGACGGTTGACGACTAGAAGCGAGTTATCTGTGCGGATGAGACCATGATCGGTCGTCTTGCATCCGACTGACTCTCATACGCCTGCGTTCACGAAGGGACTACCCTCCAAAGACACCAAATCAAGCAGACCGTCAAACACGGGGGCGGTTGCTTGATAATTTACGACTGCATGTCGTAAAAGGGAGCGGGTTTCATGAGCAAAACATAAGGTAGGGTGGACGGACTGCTCTCGCTGAGTATACTGCAGGACGATCTCAACTATACGATTGAGCTTTACCAGCTTACACCCTCAAAAACGATCTTCCAGCACGACAACGACCCGAAGCACAAGTCGCGTATCGTACAGGAGTGGCTTTGAGAGTAAGATTCAGGGGTGCTAGAGTGGCCGTCTTCCTCACCCGACCTCAACCCAATGGATCATTTATGGGCTCATCTCAAGAGGCAGTTGGCCAAGCCTTATAAGCCTCCCACTGGTATGCTGGACCTTTGGGAGCGGGTGCAGGAGAAATGGGAGAAGATCCCGGCGGATGTGTGCACCCACCTGGTGGAAAGCATGCCCAGGAGGGTGAGGGCGGTGTCTAAGGCGAAAGGGCGGTGGATTAGGTACTAGTTTGGGGTTGATGTAACTTGCTGCTTGAGCCTGGCAATAATTGTCCACATGTCCCAAGATTGTTATTTTCTAGTATTTGTTGTAAACATCATTATACTTGTGTGATGTAAGGCATGGGCGTGGAGCCTTACCCCAACCTACATACACTAGGCACACCAGAAGATTAAGTCTTAATGTCCATGACCCCCTAAAATGGCAAAATTCCTCTAAGTCACAAACATGTGGACAATACTTTCCGTCGCTGTATATTTGTAAATTTTTATAGACTAGATAGGTGCATGCTTATAGAGGGTCCAACCATTCAGAAAAAAACCACCCTATATCTCTCATTCTAGTTCATTCTGTTATCTTGAGACTATATACGAGGGATTACGGTACAATTAAGGCAACATAAAAATAGCAGGGAGCACACAAGACCAATTAGGAGAATATATAAAAGAGCAGAAGCCACAAAGCCAATTAGGAGAATATATAAAAGAGCAGTACACAATCAGGGTCCTAGCAAATGAGAAGCTACAGGAACTAGACCAAGCTGTACACATTGCCTTCGATGATCTTTAGGCGCAAGCGCCTTAGTGAAGATATCAGCTGTGCTGGCACTAGAGGCCAAGTGAACTACTACGCGAGCCTGGCGTCACTGATGTAGCTCACGCATGAGGAAGTACCGCAGCTGAATGTGCTTCACTATGCCCTCCAGTCGAGGCTCCTGACACAGGAGGATCATGGCTCTGTTGTCAGCGTACAGGACCGGGGCACAGCTAGGCCGCTCACCTAAGTCTGTGAATAAGAAAGTCTGCTGGCGGAGCTTCTCTGCCGCCATGGCACCAACGTAAATCTCAGCCCCTCAGCCAAACTGGGCTTTGGACGACGCACGGGTGGACCTCCACGAGATAGCGCATGCACCATGGCTAAAGCAGTAGCCCTGGGAGGACCTGAGCGTCTCAGCGCCGTCAGCCCACGAAGCGTCTGTGTGCCCTGTAAGGACCACTGGCATGCGTCCTCCTAGCACTAGCCTCATGCCCGATGTACTTGCTAGATACCGTGATCATCCGGATATAGGCGTAGACATTTATAGTGGGCTTATATAGTGCAAACGCGCTTATATATGTTATTTCATTATAAGCGCACCCTTTTTTAAAGAAAATCTATTCCCTATAAACGCATTGAATTGCTATTTAAAAACAGGTGAATTGCGAAACTTCCATATCGAAAACTCTGTGCCAAATCTCCCGCAGCACTCTCGCGCCCCTCCCAAGCACCTGGCCAGCTAGATTCTTGCGTTTTCCGATCATTGAGTTGTCTATGATTGGTCCATACCTTGCCTTCCCATCATAGTTGTGTTGGCGAAACTTTTGTCAGATATTCTGCGCGATAGTTCTGCGCGTCCCCTTTTGAAGACAGTTGTATTGGAACCCAAATCAACCCAGCTACATTTTTGGTGTGTTCAAATCATTTTCCCATATAGTCCTTCGTATTAGCGCATGGGCTTATATTTTTATTCAATTATAAGCACATGCTGCTTTTTGAACCTTATCCCTATAGCACATATGCGCCTATATCCGGGGGATGACGGTAACGCAAAACCCTCTTAGCCGCCGACCAGTGCCGTGGTCGGTGTCTGCATATGGCCACAATGTTAAATTATATATTGTGTTATATAATTGGTAGGCTTGGTAGGTTACAGAACTCTACTGTAGAGGGTACAACTCCCTCCTTGTATGCCTCTCTCTTCCTAGTCTCTCTCCTTTTCCTGTCGTCAACTTTCTCTCCTAGCTCCTAGTGTCAGAAACCCAGTCACTAACTACTGGGTTAAAAGGGCTTGTTGAATAGCGGGTAAGTGCGCCCATAGCCCCCCAGGCTCTGCACCTGTGGCCCTTCCCCGAGGATCTCAAGGGAAACCCCAGCGGGTCACTCGACACCCCCCCCCCCGCTGGGATAGGTGGAAGACACGAGCGCCTCTGCAGCGCTGGCACTGGGAGTTGAACCCAAGACCTTTGGCTCTGATACCATGTCAGAAACCCAGTCACTAACCACTGGGTTAAAAGGGCTTGTTGAATAGCGGGTAAGTGCGCCCATAGCCCCCCAGGCTCTGCACCTGTGGCCCTTCCCCGAGGATCTTTTCAAGGGTAACCCAGCGGGTCACTCGACACCTAGCTCCTAATCCTCTCGCCATTTCATGGCCCCCTTCCTTCCTAGCTAAGTTAGTCTTCTTACAGACAAACCGAGCCAGGATGCTGAGAGGGCATGCGAGATCTGGCAATGACTAGAATGAGGCATACAGACAGGTTGTGCTATGGTGCTGTACTCTTTATAAGCATGCACCGATCTAGCTTATAACGATATATAACAATGTTGACACTCTCGGCCCTTGACTGTTTAAAACCTCGATAGTCGGAAACCTCAATCACCCTACAAAAGTCCTTGGCCTCATTTTTATCGTCACTTTGCAATCACGTTCCCCTTATTGAATATTGCACTACACTCTGACTTATAATTCATAACAACTTGAGACAGTATTTTACGTTCTGTTCTGATGATTAACCATCTACTGGAGTACAGCTACCGAGTCCATGGAGTCGTTACAGCCTAAACCCCCCATTCCCAGTTGGTCATGGAAGTAGCTATCCCACATAAGTGGAAGCAGCTAGCAACGTTTATCCTAGCGCCCACGAAGGTTGCGCTATAGTTTGCCCCGCTTCCGCGAGTCTTCCGCGAGCGAAGACTGCCAATCAGGGAATCAGCCCCATCCGCGCCCCTAACCTCGCCAGGGGTTTCTCGCTAATCCGCTGCTTGCTCGACCCCCGCACAGCCCAGCTCCGCGCGCCATGGAGCGCGAGCCGACGCGCGAGGAAGGCGAGGTGAACGAAGATATCGATGCCGCCGCAGGGGGCGAAGAAAGCGGGACCGGGGGATCGCGGAAGCGGAAGCAGGCGCAAGGCGCGCGGAAGAAGGGCGGAGAGGAGAAGGTCCCTGGGCTGGTGAAGCGGGGCGGGCGCGCAGCGATGGTTGTGGGCGGCGGAGGAATGGCGGCGGCTGCGGCGGGATCTACGCTGCTCGAGTACCAGGTACCCCTTCCTTAGATGCCTCGAAACTTAAAGCCCGAGTATTGGGTGCTCCGTTCTTAGTTGCGAAAAAGCCCCTGTACCAGGAGCTACGTTCTTAGATGCGTCGAAAGACTACAGTGGCTTAAAAAGTCTGGTGCGCCACGCTGAACTGATCCCTCGCACACCTCAGAAATCCAGTCTCCACCCCTCGGAGCGCTCTCTCGGCCAACCGACGTGCATTCTCTTCCCCACCCCCTCCCCACCTCCTCGCCACCTCCTCGCCACCTCCTAATGCACGATTCTTGCCTTGGCCATAACGGTCCAGTCATCTCCCTGCACTGCTCGCACTCGGTTAGTCACTCTCCCACTTCAGAAATCTGTAGAGGGCAGGGCGTCGAACCCTGTGTTCTGCAGACGTACTCACGGTACTTCCCCTCTCCTTAAACCCCGAACCCGGATAAAACCCTGACGTCAAACCCTCTTTTCGGATCATTCAACGCACTGCATGCGTGGCATTGGGGTGCATAGTGGACTGTGAGGTTGAACACGTGGCGAGGGTGCACTTGTGGACTGCGAGGTTTTACACGTGTTTCCCCCAGAGTGCACATGCGGACTCTATCAGCTTTGCGTTTCCTTTCGCCAAGTCTCAGCATCACCCTCCTAAACCCCTTCCCCCCTCCTGACCCCCTTCCCCCTTGCTGGCCCCCTTGCGCAGCCATTGTTGCCCAGCATGCCCTTCATGGGGGCAGGCAGAGCCATCCGCCCGCATAGACCTGCCTGCGCCAAGCTCACATCCGATGCCCATCACTCCATCACACTCCATCACAGTCCCCCCACCTTTCTCCCCCCGCTCCCCCCCTCTCTTTCCCACACACGTGCGCTGCTCCCCATGCCCCTCCTGCCCCCACCCGTGCAAGCATGTGCTGGCAGGCGAACGAGGGGCTCGAGGAGTGGCGCGCGCACGTGGGCCTGGCTGCTGCTAGGCAGTCACGCAAAGGCGCGCTGGCGGCTGTGCTGAGTTTAGAGGCGCCTCAACAGTTTGTGCTGGCGCGCACAGCCACCCCCTCTGTCTTTGTGGTGATGGCGCTCACAGCCAATCCCTTCCCCTCTCTGCTAATGCTGGCAGGTGCACAACGTGCTCACAGAGGCCCACGTGGACCTGGCTGCTGCCAGGCAGCGAGGGAAAGGCATGGTGGTGGCTGTAGATGGTGCCGTGGAGAAATTAAAGGAAACGCTTTTAGCCATGCCTGAGGGAGAACAGGTGAGAGACACTTAAAGCCGTGGATGGTGGACGGGAATGGTGCTGGCTGTGTATGGCGCGCTGGGGAGGCTAAGCGAGGCACTTGAGATGCAGCCAGGGTTAAAAAAAACGCCGTTTTTTTCAAAAAAATACCGTATTAAACGGTATCGAATTAAACGGCCGTTAAATACGAAAAAAACGGTGAAAATTGTGCAAAAATAGGTTGGTTAAAAAAAACGGCCGAAATATTTAAAAAAGTGCAAAAAAATCGGACGAAATGTGCGGATCTGGCATTTTGCCCGCCCAAATGCACGGATCTGGCATTTTTCCCACCAAAATGTGCCAGATTTTGCGTTTTTTGTGGACGAAATGCATGGATCTGACGTTTTGTCAGCCGAAATACGCAGATCTGGCATTTCGCCCGTCGAAATGCGCGGATCTCGCATTTGGGCGGACGAATGGCAGACGATTAGGCTGTCTAGCAAAAAAAGAAAAAAGAAGAAAAAAAAGATGCTCTTTTTAAAAAACGGCGTTTTTTTCCAAAAATCCCCAAAAAAAACGGCCGAATAATACGGACCGTATTTTTCGAAAACCGTATTTTTGAACCTTGGATGCAGCAGGTGAGGAGAGCGGCTTGGAGTGGGTTTCTGTTAGGGTTTAGCAGAGGATAGCAGAGGATAGCAGAGGATAACAGAGGGATAGCAGGGGATAGCAGGGGATAGCATTGAATAGCAGAGGGATAGCAGGGGATATCAGAGGGATAGCAGGGGATAGCATTGAATAGCAGAGGGATAGCAGGGGATATCAGAGGGCGAGGGAGAGCTGTAGAGAGGGGTAGGAGGGCGCCAGCGCAGAGTAGCATGAGGAGCCCCAGCGGTGCATGTGAAGTGGCAGGCAGCACGGGGAGGGATGTAGGGTGTGGGTCGCATGGCATGGGATTGAGGTGAAAGGCGATTGGGGGAAGACAGCTGGTTGGGACCACTGGCTATTGGTAGTGTTGTCGCCCAATCTGGCCTATTTCGCGTGGAATCGCTACCTGGGCAGGTGGGGGGGAGTCATGTCGTACTCGGCCTTGGTGTTCCCCGCCCCCCCCCGCAACCATGTCGCCCTCCCCGTGCGACCCTCTGCACTCCCTGCACTGCAGCTCACAGCAGGCGCACCCCCATCTGCCCTTTTTGGAGGGGCTGCTGCGGCAGGAGGGGATGAGAGTCCTGTAAGCGTCTCAACATGGCGGCGCCTAGGCATGAGCAAAATGCCCAGTGGGCCCGGAAATGGCCGGGCACGGGCTGCCCATCCCTGAATTTCGGCCTGACCTTAGGCGGCCTGGCCCGGCCCGCCCTGCCCTCGGCCTGCTCCGGCCTGCCCCTGGGCCAAGGCCGGCCCGACCCCTTATCCCAGGTACGGGCCGGGGAGTTCCCAAGGTCAGCCCGACATTGGCCCAGCCTGGCCTGGCCCGAGGCGAGGCCTAGCCGGGCCGACCAGAAACGGGCTGGGCTGGGCCGGGCCTATGCTCATGCCTTTAGGCACGCCCCTGCCTCCCTGCTCCGCTGTGCAGGCAGACGCTTCTCCCCAAGAGGATTGCTGGGGCGGCAGGGTGCGAATTATAGTGTTGTATGCCTCAATGTTTTCCTCAACCCCTTGTTTCCCCTGCAGGTGACAGCAGACGCCGCTCTGCCATACGTGGAAGGGCTGGTGGGGCAGGAGGGGATGAGGAGCCTCGCCTTCGCCTTCCACCCGCCCACCCGCATGCAAGTGGTGGGCAGCTACGCCCATGCCGGCTCACCTGCTGCCTCGCACGCGCGTGGGCACTCGTCTGGGGGTGGTGATGGTGGTGATGGTGGTGATGGCGGGGGTGCTGGTGTGGGCAGTGTTGCGAGGCCGTGCACGCATGTGGATGTGGCAGTGGAGATGCCCCAGGTGAGAGATGAAATCGCCACTGCCGTGGTACTGTGTACATGCACACTGGATATGGAGGATTTGGTTGTATGTGCGTGGGGGTATTGGGTGCATGGGCTGTGGGCAAGGTGCAAAAAAACGGTTTCCGTATTAAACGGTCCGTTTTTTACGGTCGTTTTATACAGCAGATTTGTGCAAATTCTGCCGTTTTTTTTTTTCCCCGTGTTTGTTTGTTTGTTTTTTTTTTGTTCCAAAACTTCAACCTCCATCCGTGTCCTCCTAGACCTCTTTTCATTGTTCTTCTCGGTCTAGTGACTCGTCCTCCTTGTTGTCCTCCTCTTAGTTCTCCTACTCCGGCTCTGCTCCTCCTAATAGTCCTCCTCCTCCTCACCCTAGTCCTCCCCTTCCTCGCCCTAGTCGTCCTCCTCCTTCTCCTAGTCCTCCTCACCCTCTTTGATATAAAGTGAACCACCGTTTTTTACGACGGTACGAGAAAAACGACCGTATAAAAGAACCGTTTTTTTGCACCAGTCACAAAATACCACTTTTGACCGTTTTAATGGTATTAAACGGCCGTTTTATACGAACCCGTTTAATACGGGAAAATAAATAAATTTAAACGCCGTTTTTTTGCACTTTGGCTGTGGGGGTACTGGGTGCATGGGCTGTGGGGGTGCTGGGTGCGTGGGCACTGTTACGAGGCCATGGACACATGAGCATGTGGCTGTGGGGATGCCCAAGGTGATAGAAAGGCGCATGTGGCGAGGCACACACACTGTGGCACACACGCATCCTGCTGCTAATGTATGTATGGACACATCCTCCCGCATTCTGAGGGCGCTCCTCTGCAGCCATGCGGCACAGCCGTGTGCCACAGCCTCTTTTACACCCGCCCCGCCAATCCTCCCTATCCCACCCCCCCATCTCCACCCGTGCAGGCGTGCTTCCGCGAGAAGGACATCTTGAACCACCGCTACTTCGCCAGGCGGGCGCTGTACCTTGCCACTCTGGCCCGCCACCTGGCGCAGTGTGATTGGGTGGCAGCCGTGGAGTGGAGCACGCTGAGGGATGACGTGTGCAAGCCCATCCTCGCTGTCATTCCGCGTGAGTTGATTGTGTGTCTGTGGCTCACCCATGCTGTGATGCACAAAGTGCACCCATGCCGTGCCATGACGTGCTAGCCCATCCTCATTGTCGTCCCCCGTGAGTTGATCTCTCCCCCATCCTCTATCCCCCATCCTCTCTCCCCCATCCTCTCTCCCCCATCCTCTCTCCCCCATCCTCTCTCCCCCATCCTCTCTCCCCCATCCTCTCTCCCCCATCCTCTCTCACTCTCCCCATCCTCTCTCCCCCATCCTCTCTCCCCCATCCTCTCTCCCCCATCTAGACATGGGCATGAGCGTAAGATTTCTCGCGGGAACTAACCTAATGAGATACTCCTTGGCGCGCAGAATTCTAGGGTTCGCGGAATTGACGGGAAGTAGATTGTGAGGAGGAAGGAGGGTGTTAGAGGCAAGGTTGGAAGTTGTAGATGCAATAGTGTGCAGTGCGGTTGAGCAGGGAAAAAGGTTTGGATGGGTTTTGCGACTGGTTGAATTCGCCAGGTCGCAATGTCGCAGGAAAGAATTCCGCGTCAAACATTTTGGGCGGGTATTTAGCGTTTACCGTTTAAACGCAGTGTTTAAACGCTGCACCGCCAGAGCGTTTGCAGGAACATAGACCAGGAGTTGTTGGTGGGAGAGAGAAAGGGGAGACAAGTTTTGTCGAGGGGGAAATTTTACCCTGGAAATCGAGTGGCGAGCCACCTGGCTCGAAATCGAGCCGGGGACGAGCCAGTTCGACCCCAGCTCGACGAGGACATCGTGTACGAGCCGAGTCGAGCTGGCTGGCACGACCGAGCCGGATCCCAAAAAGAAAGGCTCGGCTCGCCATTTTTGGCGAGCCGAGCCGAGCCGAGCCGAGCCGGATGTGGCTCAGCTTGTGTTGTGTGTTGTGTGTCTGCTCTCTCCCTCCCCCCCCAGGCGCCTGCAAGGGCTGGCCCCTGCGTCTCATCCCCTGTCTGCCGCCCAGCACCTTCCCCTCACGCAAGCTCGCACCCTCCCGCAACAATGTGCGGCAAGCTACCTCCAAAGGTGGGCGTGTGAGAAGTTGAGGCGAATCGAGGTGAGTTGAGGTGAGTTGAGTTGGAATGCGGCACTGTGCAGCAGCGGCCTGCACATTGTGCGGCAGCGGCCTGCACATTCTGCGGCAGCGGCCTGCACATTCTGCGGCAGCGGCCTGCACATTGTGCGGCAGCGGCCTGCACATTCTGCGGCAGCGGCCTGCACATTCTGCGGCAGCGGCCTGCACATTGTGCGGCAGCGGCCAGCACATTGTGCGGCAGCGGCCTGCACATTGTGCGGCAGCAGCCTGCACATTGTGCGGCAGCGGCCTGCACATTCTGCGGCAGCGGCCTGCACATTCTGCGGCAGCGGCCTGCACATTGTGCGGCAGCGGCCTGCACATTGTGCGGCAGCGGCCTGCACATTGTGCGGCAGCGGCCTGCACATTCTGCGGCAGTGGCCTGCACATTGTGCGGCAGCGGCCTGCACATTGTGCGGCAGCGGCCAGCACATTGTGCGGCAGCGGCCTGCACATTGTGCGGCAGCCGTCTGCACATTGTGCGGCAGTGGCCTGCACATTCTGCGGCAGCGGCCTGCACATTGTGCGGCAGCGGCCAGCACATTGTGCGGCAGCGGCCTGCACATTGTGCGGCAGCAGCCTGCACATTCTGCGGCAGCGGCCTGCACATTCTGCGGCAGCGGCCTGCACATTCTGCGGCAGCGGCCTGCACATTGTGCGGCAGCGGCCTGCACATTGTGCGGCAGCGGCCTGCACATTCTGCGGCAGTGGCCTGCACATTGTGCGGCAGCGGCCTGCACATTGTGCGGCAGCGGCCAGCACATTGTGCGGCAGCGGCCTGCACATTGTGCGGCAGCGGCCTGCACATTGTGCGGCAGCGGCCTGCACATTGTGCGGCAGCGGCCTGCACATTTTGCGGCAGCGGCCTGCACATTCTGCGGCAGCGGCCTGCACATTGTGCAGCAGCGGCCTGCACATTCTGCGGCAGCGGCCTGCACATTCTGCGGCAGCGGCCTGCACATTCTGCGGCAGCGGCTTGCACATTGTGCGGCAGCGGCCTGCACATTCTGCGGCAGCGGCCTGCACATTGTGCGGCAGCCGCCTGCACATTGTGCGGCAGCGGCCTGCACATTCTGCGGCAGCGGCCTGCACATTCTGCGGCAGCGGCCTGCACATTCTGCGGCAGCGGCCTGCACATTGTGCGGCAGCGGCCTGCACATTGTGCGGCAGCAGCCTGCACATTCTGCGGCAGTGGCCTGCACATTGTGCGGCAGCAGCCTGCACATTCTGCGGCAGCGGCCTGCACATTCTGCGGCAGGGGCCTGCACATTGTGCGGCAGCGGCCTGCACATTCTGCGGCAGCGGCCTGCACATTCTGCGGCAGCGGCCTGCACATTGTGCGGCAGCGGCCTGCACATTGTGCGGCAGCGGCCAGCACATTGTGCGGCAGCGGCCTGCACATTGTGCGGAAGCCGCCTGCACATTGTGCGGCAGTGGCCTGCACATTCTGCGGCAGCGGCCTGCACATTGTGCGGCAGCGGCCAGCACATTGTGCGGCAGCGGCCTGCACATTGTGCGGCAGCAGCCTGCACATTCTGCGGCAGCGGCCTGCACATTCTGCGGCAGCGGCCTGCACATTCTGCGGCAGCGGCCTGCACATTGTGCGGCAGCGGCCTGCACATTGTGCGGCAGCGGCCTGCACATTCTGCGGCAGTGGCCTGCACATTGTGCGGCAGCGGCCTGCACATTGTGCGGCAGCGGCCAGCACATTGTGCGGCAGCGGCCTGCACATTGTGCGGCAGCGGCCTGCACATTGTGCGGCAGCGGCCTGCACATTGTGCGGCAGCGGCCTGCACATTTTGCGGCAGCGGCCTGCACATTCTGCGGCAGCGGCCTGCACATTGTGCAGCAGCGGCCTGCACATTCTGCGGCAGCGGCCTGCACATTCTGCGGCAGCGGCCTGCACATTCTGCGGCAGCGGCTTGCACATTGTGCGGCAGCGGCCTGCACATTCTGCGGCAGCGGCCTGCACATTGTGCGGCAGCCGCCTGCACATTGTGCGGCAGCGGCCTGCACATTCTGCGGCAGCGGCCTGCACATTCTGCGGCAGCGGCCTGCACATTCTGCGGCAGCGGCCTGCACATTGTGCGGCAGCGGCCTGCACATTGTGCGGCAGCAGCCTGCACATTCTGCGGCAGTGGCCTGCACATTGTGCGGCAGCGGCCTGCACATTCTGCGGCAGCGGCCTGCACATTCTGCGGCAGGGGCCTGCACATTGTGCGGCAGCGGCCTGCACATTCTGCGGCAGCGGCCTGCACATTCTGCGGCAGCGGCCTGCACATTGTGCGGCAGCGGCCTGCACATTGTGCGGCAGCGGCCAGCACATTGTGCGGCAGCGGCCTGCACATTGTGCGGCAGCCGCCTGCACATTGTGCGGCAGTGGCCTGCACATTCTGCGGCAGCGGCCTGCACATTGTGCGGCAGCGGCCAGCACATTGTGCGGCAGCGGCCTGCACATTGTGCGGCAGCGGCCTGCACATTCTGCGGCAGCGGCCTGCACATTCTGCGGCAGCGGCCTGCACATTCTGCGGCAGCGGCCTGCACATTGTGCGGCAGCGGCCTGCACATTGTGCGGCAGCGGCCTGCACATTCTGCGGCAGTGGCCTGCACATTGTGCGGCTGCGGCCTGCACATTGTGCGGCAGCGGCCAGCACATTGTGCGGCATCGGCCTGCACATTGTGCGGCAGCGGCCTGCACATTGTGCGGCAGCGGCCTGCACATTTTGCGGCAGCGGCCTGCACATTCTGCGGCAGCGGCCTGCACATTGTGCGGCAGCGGCCTGCACATTCTGCGGCAGCGGCCTGCACATTCTGCGGCAGCGGCCTGCACATTCTGCGGCAGCGGCCTGCACATTCTGCGGCAGCGGCCTGCACATTGTGCGGCAGCCGCCTGCACATTGTGCGGCAGCGGCCTGCACATTCTGCGGCAGCGGCCTGCACATTCTGCGGCAGCGGCCTGCACATTCTGCGGCAGCGGCCTGCACATTGTGCGGCAGCGGCCTGCACATTGTGCGGCAGCGGCCTGCACATTCTGCGGCAGTGGCCTGCACATTGTGCGGCAGCGGCCTGCACATTGTGCGGCAGCGGCCTGCACATTCTGCGGCAGGGGCCTGCACATTGTGCGGCAGCGGCCTGCACATTCTGCGGCAGCAGCCTGCACATTCTGCGGCAGCGGCCTGCACATTGTGCGGCAGCGGCCTGCACATTGTGCGGCAGCGGCCTGCACATTGTGCGGCAGCGGCCTGCACATTCTGCGGCAGCGGCCTGCACATTCTGCGGCAGCGGCCTGCACATTCTGCGGCAGCGGCCTGCAGATTCTGCGGCAGCGGCCTGCACATTGTGCGGCAGCGGCCTGCACATTCTGCGGCAGCGGCCTGCACATTGTGCGGCAGCGGCCTGCACATTGTGCGGCAGCCGCCTGCACATTGTGCGGCAGCGGCCTGCACATTGTGCGGCAGCGGCCTGCACATTGTGCGGCAGCGGCCTGCACATTGTGCGGCAGCGGCCTGCACATTGTGCGGCAGCGGCCTGCACATTGTGCGGCAGCGGCCTGCACATTGTGCGGCAGCAGCCTGCACATTCTGCGGCAGCGGCCTGCACATTCTGCGGCAGCGGCCTGCACATTCTGCGGCATTGGCCTGCACATTCTGCGGCAGCGGCCTGCACATTCTGCGGCAGCGGCCTGCACATTCTGCGGCAGCGGCCTGCACATTCTGCGGCAGCGGCCTGCACATTGTGCGGCAGCGGCCTGCACATTCTGCGGCAGCGGCCTGCACATTGTGCGGCAGCCGCCTGCACATTGTGCGGCAGCGGCCTGCACATTCTGCGGCAGCGGCCTGCACATTGTGCGGCAGGGGCCTGCACATTCTGCGGCAGCGGCCTGCACATTCTGCGGCAGCGGCCTGCACATTGTGCGGCAGCGGCCTGCACATTCTGCGGCAGCGGCCTGCACATTCTGCGGCAGCGGCCTGCACATTGTGCGGCAGCGGCCTGCACATTCTGCGGCAGCGGCCTGCACATTCTGCGGCAGGGGCCTGCACATTGTGCGGCAGCGGCCTGCACATTGTGCGGCAGCGGCCTGCACATTCTGCGGCAGCGGCCTGCACATTGTGCGGCAGCGGCCTGCACATTGTGCGGCAGCTGCCTGCACATTGTGCGGCAGCGGCCTGCACATTGTGCGGCAGCGGCCTGCACATTCTGCGGCAGCGGCCTGCACATTGTGCGGCAGCGGCCTGCACATTGTGCGGCAGCAACCTGCACATTGTGCGGCAGCAGCCTGCACATTCTACGGCAGCGGCCTGCACATTCTGCGGCAGCGGCCTGCACATTCTGCGGCAGGGGCCTGCACATTGTGCGGCAGCGGCCTGCACATTGTGCGGCAGGGGCCTGCACATTGTGCGGCAGCGGCCTGCACATTCTGCGGCAGTGGCCTGCACATTGTGCGGCAGCGGCCTGCACATTGTGCGGCAGCGGCCTGCACATTCTGCGGCAGGGGCCTGCACATTGTGCGGCAGCGGCCTGCACATTCTGCGGCAGCGGCCTGCACATTCTGCGGCAGCGGCCTGCACATTCTGCGGCAGCGGCCTGCACATTCTGCGGCAGCGGCCTGCACATTGTGCGGCAGCGGCCTGCACATTCTGCGGCAGCGGCCTGCACATTCTGCGGCAGCGGCCTGCACATTCTGCGGCAGCGGCCTGCACATTCTGCGGCAGCGGCCTGCACATTGTGCGGCAGCGGCCTGCACATTGTGCGGCAGCGGCCTGCACATTCTGCGGCAGCGGCCTGCACATTGTGCGGCAGCGGCCTGCACATTGTGCGGCAGCGGCCTGCACATTGTGCGGCAGCGGCCTACACATTGTGCGGCAGCAGCCTGCACATTCTGCGGCAGCGGCCTGCACATTCTGTTGCAGCGGCCTGCACATTGTGCGGCAGCGGCCTGCACATTTTGCGGCAGCGGCCTGCACATTCTGCGGCAGCGGCCTGCACATTCTGCGGCAGCGGCCTGCACAATCTGCGGCAGCGGCCTGCACATTGTGCGGCAGGGGCCTGCACATTGTGCGGCAGCGGCCTGCACATTTTGCGGCAGCGGCCTGCACATTGTGCGGCAGCGGCCTGCACATTCTGCGGCAGCGGCCTGCACATTCTGCGGAGGCGGCCTGCACATTCTGCGGCAGCGGCCTGCACATTCTGCGGCAGCGGCCTGCACATTGTGCGGCAGCGGCCTGCACATTGTGCGGCAGCGGCCTGCACATTGTGCGGCAGTGGCCTGCACATTCTGCGGCAGCGGCCTGCACATTCTGTGGCAGCCGCCTGCACATTCTGCGGCAGCGGCCTGCACATTGTGCGGCAGCAGCCTGCACATTCTGCGGCAGCGGCCTGCACATTCTGCGGCAGCGGCCTGCACATTCTGCGGCAGCGGCCTGCACATTGTGCGGCAGCGGCCTGCACATTGTGCGGCAGCGGCCTGCACATTGTGCGGCAGCGGCCTGCACATTCTGCGGCAGCGGCCTGCACATTCTGCGGCAGCGGCCTGCACATTGTGCGGCAGCGGCCTGCACATTGTGCGGCAGCGGCCTGCACATTGTGCGGCAGTGGCCTGCACATTGTGCGGCAGCGGCCTGCACATTCTGCGGCAGCGGCCTGCACATTGTGCGACAGCAGCCTGCACATTCTGCGGCAGCGGCCTGCACATTGTGCAGCCCCCATGACGGCCACTGGTGCACCACCAATGGCATGCCCGTGATGCCTCCCCTTGCCACCAGCTCGCACCCTGCTCACACAATCTGCGAAGGGTTGCAAGTTGGACGTATTAGTTGTGCACCCATCATGGCTGCCCTGGACAGTGCCTTTCCTTCCAGTGCCCCGTCCAACGCGCATGCCTCCTCCTCTCCCATATACTGCGCTCTCTCCTCCCCTTTCTCGTTACTGTGCTCGATTCCCTCCCACGCACTGCCGCCTCTCCCTCGCCCTATCACCACAGGCGGCGAGCTGCTGGCAACACTGCGGCACAACATGGGGTTGCTGGAGGGCGGCGCGCACATGGAGGCTCATGGCTGCATTCGGCTCCGATCCCATGCACCGTGCACTGCTTTTGTCTGCCATGTGCCATGCGCCCTTTTCCTCCCAACCCACGCATGACAGGGGGCGAGCTGCTGGCAACCCCGAAGTACAACATGGGGGTGGTGGAGGATGGTGCACACATGGAGGCCCATGACGTCATCTCACATGCCATGGCGCTTGTGCCCGCTCTGCCACACGGGTTGGTGCTGCTGAAGGTGATTGTCGCGAGGCACCCTTCTCCTTCTCGCTAGCATTCCAGCTTTCTTCCGTCGCTTTGCCATCGCTTCAGCAGCCCGATCTAAGTTGCTGTTCCCCATCGTGTGAAGCAATGTCTTTTTTTTATAGTCACCTTGATGTACAATACTGTTCATGATAGTCACTTGATATTCAATACTATTCATGGTAAAGCTTGGGTTGCCACCCTCATGTCACCGCTCACTCCCTCCATCACCCCCGCACCCTTCGTGCCACGTGTCGCGTGCACATTACGTCCCAGATCTGGGCTCGCCAGCGGTACGGCACCAAGCGCCAGGTGGCGCCTGCTGATTGGCTGAATGGATTCCAGCTGTCCCTACTGGCAGCCCACCTGGCGTCGCCCCACAACCCCCACCGCCGCATCACACCTGCCATGTCAGCATTCCAGATATTCCGATGTGTCATGGAGGCAATGGGTATGTGGCATGGCATGGCATGGGTATGTGGCATGGACATGGACGCCCCGCATGGGTATGTGGCATATATGCCACGGGTATGTGGCATGGATGCCATGGGTATGAGCAGTGCTCACATGTGTACTGTATTCATCTCTGATGCTCAAGTGCTGTTCTCGCCATCCGCACTACACCTGTCCATCCCCACCTCTCTCGAGGGTCACCCAAAACTGATCTCCAGCAGCCCAGCCACCTCGACTCTACCTGTGCCCTCCACCCCTTCCCCCTTACTCCCCTTCCCCCTTACTCCCCTTCCCCCTTACTCCCCTTCCCCTTTCCCCCTCCTTGGCGCCCCATCCCCCCCCCTCCTACCTCTCCTTGCCACGGGGGCAGGCGGCACGGATCTGCTCCAGCAGCCCATCTTCCTCACCGCTCCTGATGGCTCCCCCAATGCACTCCAGGCGAATTCTCAGGTGCTCACCCTCCAGTGCTCACCCTCCGGTCCTCACCCTCCGGTAGACATGGGCATGAGCCGAGCCTGGCTCGGCTCGGCTCGTTTGGGGTCGAGCCGAGCCGGCTCGCCGGTCGATTCGGCTCGGCTCGCCTCGAGCCGGGTCCTCAGGATCCCCGGCTCGGCTCGTGAAAATTGGGTCAAGCCGGGGCCGGCTCGCCGGCAAGCCAGCTCGGCTCGGCTCGTCAGGGGGGCTTGTGTCGGCTGTTAATTGGGGCCACGGGGTTTGGGGTCTCTAGTCTGGGGGATTATCCAGATTGTTTAGCTGATCGTCTGGTTCTACATCTTACACAACTATCAGGAGCTGCAGGTTTAAATAGGGCTGGCTGAGGTCGATAGACTAGGGCGGCAGGGTGAGGTTAGGGTTGGCAGACAAAATGGGCGCGGGGGGGTTTGTCGATCTGGAATTTGACAGTCGCGAAGGCCCCCTTTCCCTAGCCGCGAGCCGGCTGGCTCGAAAACGAGCCAGCTCGAGCCGGCTCGGCTCGAGTCGAGCCGGGTACAAAAAGAGAGGCTCGGCTCGTTTTTAAGGCGAGCCGAGCCGAGCCGAGCCAGGTGTGGCTTGGCTTGTGCCCGTGTCTACCCTCCGGTGCTCACCGTCCCCCGTAATCACCGTGCCATTAGTTTTTGTAAATGCATGACTCTGTGTCCATGTGAAACAGTCTGTGTCCGTGTGAAACAGTCTGTGTCCATGTGAAGCTGTCTTTGTCCGTGTGAAACAGTCTGTGTCCATGTGAAACAGTCTTTGTCCATGTGAAACAGTCTTTGTCCATGTGAAACAGTCTTTGTCCATGTGAAACAGTCTTTGTCCATGTGAAACAGTCTTTGTCCATGTGAAGCTGTCTTTGTCCGTGTGAAACAGTCTGTGTCCATGTGAAACAGTCTTTGTCCATGTGAAGCTGTCTTTGTCCGTGTGAAACAGTCTGTGTCCATGTGAAACAGTCTTTGTCCATGTGAAACAGTCTTTGTCCATGTGAAACAGTCTTTGTCCATGTGAAACAGTCTTTGTCCATGTGAAACAGTCTTTGTCCATGTGAAGCTGTCTTTGTCCGTGTGAAACAGTCTGTGTCCATGTGAAACAGTCTTTGTCCATGTGAAACAGTCTTTGTCCATGTGAAACAGTCTTTGTCCATGTGAAACAGTCTTTGTCCATGTGAAACAGTCTTTGTCCATGTGAAACAGTCTTTGTCCATGTGAAACAGTCTTTGTCCATGTGAAACAGTCTTTGTCCATGTGAAACAGTCTTTGTCCATGTGAAACAGTCTTTGTCCATGTGAAACAGTCTTTGTCCATGTGAAACAGTCTTTGTCCATGTGAAGCTGTCTTTGTCCGTGTGAAACAGTCTGTGTCCATGTGAAACAGTCTTTGTCCATGTGAAACAGTCTTTGTCCATGTGAAACAGTCTTTGTCCATGTGAAACAGTCTTTGTCCATGTGAAACAGTCTTTGTCCATGTGAAACAGTCTTTGTCCATGTGAAACAGTCTTTGTCCATGTGAAACAGTCTTTGTCCATGTGAAGCTGTCTTTGTCCATGTGAAGCTGTCTTTGTCCATGTGAAGCTGTCTTTGTCCATGTGAAGCTGTCTTTGTCCATGTGAAGCTGTCTTTGTCCATGTGAAGCTGTCTTTGTCCGTGTGAAACATGAAGGAACTAGCTCTGAGGAGAAAATGATAGTTTGAGTAGGGAGCCAAGAGACTCTATTGTACAAACATTGGAGCAAGGAAGAGATGGAGGGGAAAGTCTCCCATTGGCCGTAATGTAGACCAATGGGAGAGGTAGCTTGGAGGACAAGCAACCACAAAGTGTGGTGCTCTCCGATTGGCCACAATGTGGACCAATGGGGGAGGTTGCTTGGAAGGTAAGCAACCACAAAGTGTGGTGCTTGGTGATTGGTTGGGTCTTGGGACCAAGGACCATTTGGTTGGAATAGTGCCAACCAAATGTCTAGGACCAAATCCAATCTTGACCAACCCAAATGTGGGGTTAGTCAACCCAACCAACAACCCCCCAATAAATATAATGACTACACCCCCTGATCTAGGCATGCATGTTGTATAGATATATATTTTACAACAAAACAGTCTTTGTCCATGTGAAACTGTCTTTGTCCTTTTCCCTCCTCCCATCGCCCCACCAGGCGCGCAGGGACATGCAGAGGGCGTTCGACTGGGTGCTGTGCGACCCCTCAGGGACCGTCAACTACGCCTCCAGAGTCTCCAAGTCTGCCCTGCACCAGGTACGCCCTGCACCATGTAAAGACGATTCATGCACCCAGGTTGCAGCAAATGCAGACAGAACATGCTTGCACCCAGTGAGTGAATTGTGATGCGCCACTCAGCAGCTCTCAGCTCGTCCAGGAGCAAACGGCTCTCAGCTCGCCACAAGCGTGCCTTGTGCGAAGCAGCTGCAGCTTTCTCGTTACGCCACGCAGAGGTGTGTTCTCATGGGTGGTGAGTTGTCATCGGTGGTGAGTTGTCATCGGTGGTGAGTTGTCATCGGTGGTGAGTTGTCATCCACCTCGTTACGCTCTGTACATCCGCCCACATGTGCACTTCACCTACTGTGATCAAGTCCGGGGGAGGGAGCATCGGTGGTGGCTTGTGGATTCAACCAGGGCCTCTCCCATCTCACATCTCCCATCTCCCATCTCCCATCTCCCATCTCCCATCTCCTATCATTCCCTCCGGATCCGCCCAGATGCGCTCTTCACCTGCAGGGGGATGGGATCAAGTGGGGGGAGTGCCATGGCTAGTTGTTTCTGCACGCTGTACTCCTCCACTCGTCCCCTCATCTCTCCGTCTTTCGTACTCTCAGATCCGCCCAGACGCGCAGTTCACGTACAGTGTGATCAGATTGGGGGGAGCACCAGCAGCTTGTTCCTCCACCTCGCGCTTTAATCTCCTCGCCCCTTTTCTCACCCATGGTCCCTCTCAGATCCGTGTGGGCGCGCACTTCACCTCCAGCGTCATCCAGGGGGGGGGACACCCATGGCATGCCTCTTCAGCTTTGCTCCTTCGCCCTATTCTCGATCTACCCCCCCTGTCCCCCTTTCCCCTTTCCACTCCCTTTTATGCGCTCCAGTTCCGGCTGGACGCGCAGCTCACCTACAGCGTGATCAAGTCGGGGGGAGCGCCCGTGGCCTGTCTGCCGGGGCAGCCAGTGATGCTGGCGTTCATGCAGCCGTGCGCCGTGGCGGATAGATTCGATTTGATTGCCCGGTGAGATTTCATTTGCATGTCTGGGATTCTTTTGATCACGGCGTGTGCCATTTGATTGGGAAGTGAGAGAGGATTGCCACGAAAAACAGCTCTTTTCTTTGTCTATCATGCCCCTCAATCTCCCACTCCCCCCAGGCCCCCCCCATTTCATCAGTCGCCTCCTCCTTTAACATCCCTCTCCCCTCAGTCAGGCATGGCATGGCATGAATCCCACCCATCCCTTCCTCCCCTCTGGCTTCCTCCCCTGCCCTCCCCTATCCCAGAGTTCACGACGCCCCTCCTGCCACTGCGCAGGCGGCATTGCTTCTGGATGAGTCGCAGCACCGGCGCAGGGAGGAGGTGGCGGCAGGCGTGGTGGCGAGGGGCATGGGGGAGAGGGCGACAGCTGTGAGGGTGTATCCCAGGGAGGTGCCTGCTGGATGGAGGCTGGAGCAGGTGCGTCTGATTTGGGTTCAGTTGTCATCAAGGGCTGGTTTTCACTGTGAGTGGGAGAGGGCAGCAGCATTGAGGGTGTATTTGAGGGAGGTACCGACTGGGTGGAGCATGCGGGTGTGGTGGAAGGCCTAACTGGTTCAGGGCGTGATGCAAATTTGGGTTCGATTCAATGTGAGCAGATTGGGGCACGACTGACTCCCTCTGCCTCTCTCCCATCCCTCTCGCCCTGGCATTAACTTCCCTGTGCGGTGCAGGGCATGCCAGCAGTGGCCGGCGCGCCCATGCTCATCGGAGTGTCGCTGGCGTCGCCTGACACTGCCTTCCGCCTCGTCGACAAGGGCCCCAGCGCCGACAACAAGGCAGAGGTGAGCACAAGGCAATGCTGAGGGGAACGACGCCAGTGCTGAGGGGAGTCTACCAGGTGCTGGCAAGGACCCCCTCATTGCCAGCCACCTCCTTCCGCCTCTTTAGTGGGGACCCCAGCTCTTGGACGACAAGGCTGAGGTGATCGGCTAAGGCTGGTGTTGGTCGTATGGCGCATGCTGCTGGTGTTGGTAGTATGGCGCATGCTGCTGGTGTTGGTAGTATGGCGCATGCTGCTAGTGTTGGTAGTATGGCGCATGCGCTGGTGTTGGTAGTATGGCGCATGCTGGGTGTTGGTAGTATGGCGCATGCTGCTGGCTTGATCCCCTCCACTCCATCCTTCTACCCCCCTCGTCGCCCCCTCACCCCCTCGTTATCCCCTCACCCCATGCGCATCCTCTACGCCCCCCTCTCTCGCCCCCAGTTGCACAGCTCCCCCATCCCTGCCTTTGAGACACCTCGGCATGCTACTCTCCCCCCCGCCCTCCCTCCTTCCTCCTCCCCCCCAGGCGCTCAAGTTCCGCGCCTTCTGGGGCCCCAAGGCGGAGCTGCGGCGCTGGAAGGACGGCACCGTCACTGAGGCCGTGGGTACGTGCCCCTGGGGATGGGTGCGTAGATGCCTGAAGATTTGGGAGCGGTGGGTGGGTCCAGCTAGACCGGTTGACAGGTGGGTGGTTGTCTGGGTGTATGGCACCAGCACTGACACGGTGGGTGTGTTTGGTTGGGTGGGCTTGGACGGTGGGAGGGAGAGAAGGTTTGGAGGCCGTGGGAGGGTGCTGGATGTTATGGCTGAGGGGGAGTTCCTGGTGGGATGAAGAGACACATGGCAGAGCTCTGCACGGCACATGGGAGAGCAGAGGCGAATAGCAGCTTCTGCATTCCCATGTGCCTGTTGTGCTGCCCTCACCCTCTCTTCAACAGCTTGTTTCTCCCTTGTCCCACCTGTCCGCTTCGTTCTGCTCATCCCCACTGCACACCCCGAGGGCGGCTCTGCCCCTCTCAGCCCAGGCGGAAAAGCGCCACCCAATTGTGCCGTGCATCTTCACCCCCTCCCTCGCCATTCGTCTTCCTCTGGTCCTCCACCCCTTCTCCCTCCTGTCCCCCTGTGTCTTGCATGAGAGGGCTCACCATCAGAGCGCCATCCCTCATCCCGTCGAATGCATCCTTACACCCCTCGAATGCATCCTTACACCCCTCGAATGCATCCTTACACCCTCCCTCTCCTCCACCCTTCTCTTCCGCAGCGTGGGAGGGCACGCAATCGTTGCGCCACCTCATCCCGTCGCGACTCATCGCCTTTGCCCTGCAACGCCACCTGGGGCTGGAGGAGTGCGCTGTGAGGGTGACTGGAGGGGAGCTGGACTTCGCCTTGAAGGTCGAGGGCAAGGGTGAGTGGCGAGGGGGAAGGTATGGGTGAAGGGAGAGTGGAGGGGGTAGGTATGGGTGAAGGGAGTGTGGAGTAGACATGGGCAAAATGCGATTGCGATTTAAATCGCATCGCATTGGGGGGCGATTTAATTAAATGCGATGCGGTTTTAAATCGCATCGAGCGATTTAATTTCTGGAAAAAAAATCATCGCACATCGCGTTCTGCGCGCGATGAATATGTAAACCGCATGCGGTATTTAATTAAATCGCGCGATGCGATTTTAAATCGCATCGCGTTTTAAAACAGAATAAAAAAACACCCAAAAAAAACAAAAAAAAACCATGGCTGTGGGGAAATTGACTCACGGGCAGTCGTAAGCTAGAGTGCAAATAACCAGTGTGGTTTCGTAGTGGGTTTCAGAGTGGGTTTCAGTGCAACATCGCGCGCGATTTTTAAAAAATCGCATATCGCATTTAAATCGCGTTTTTTAGCGCGATTAAAATGTGATTAAATTTAAATCGCGCGATATTAATTCATCGCATGGGTGAAGGGAGTGTGGAGGGGGTAGGTATGGGTGAAGGGAGTGTGGAGGGGGTTGGTATGGGTGAAGGGAGTGTGGAGGGGGTAGGTATGGGTGAAGGGAGTGTGGAGGGGGTAGGTATGGGTGAAGTGAGTGTGGAGGGGGTAGGTATGGGTGAAGGGAGTGTGGAGGGGGTAGGTATGGGTGAAGGGAGTGTGGAAGGGGTAGGTATGGGTGAAGGGAGTGTGGAGGGGGTAGGTATGGGTGAAGGCAGTGTGGAGGGGGTAGGTATGGGTGAAGGGAGTGTGGAGGGGGTAGGTATGGGTGAAGTGAGTGTGGAGGGGGTAGGTATGGGTGAAGGGAGTGTGGAGGGGGTAGGTATGGGTGAAGTGAGTGTGGAGGGGGTAGGTATGGGTGAAGGGAGTTTGGAGAGGGAAGGTATGGGTGAAGGGAGTGTGGAGGGGGGAGGTGAGTACAGAGGGGATGTGGGTACCTGTGTGTTGTACTGTCACGTCACCGCCTGGGGCTGTAGGAAGGCGAAGTGAGAGTGACAGGAGGGGGGCTGCACTTTGCACTCAAGGTGGAGGGGAAGGGTGAGTGGGGAGGGATGTGCAAGCGGATGCCATACGGTAGTCGTGGGCTTAGGGACCACCCAGGTTCGGCTCGACCCAGCTCGGGTCACCCAAAAGGTGAGCCAGACCGTTTTTTTGTTTTTTTTCCCCTAGCTCGACTCGAGCTGAGCCGGCGGCTCGGCTCGGCTCGACAGGCGTGAACGTCGAGCCAGATTTGAGCTGGCTCAAATCTGGCCCGCACGCGGCTCGATGGGTAGTTGCGACTTTCGGTTCGGCCCAAGAGGTGAAAAGTCGTCTTTGACATCCTGTTTCCTTCAACTAAGTAGCCTACTCACACACCATGCCTTCTTCATAAATTCCGGGGTAAGGCGCACGTACATAAGGGTTACTTACTTAGGAACATTTGAGGGAGGAAGCGGCACTTTTAGGGTTAGGCAAACGCTCTTGAAAGCCAACCTAGAAGCTCAAGCCCCTCGAAAAGACGCTGGTCGAGCCGAGCCGAGCCGCTCAATTTGGAGCCGGGGCTGAGCTCTACCTTGTGTGGGCGAGCCGAGCCGGGGATTTTTTCTGGCCGGCTCGACCCTAAGCCCATGTCTACCATGCGGCTCGATGTGATGGTGTTACCAAGTTGGGGGCACTTAACATCTGTTCGTGTGTTATGTTACCATGGTGTGGACTATGTTACCATGGTGTGGACAATGTTACCATGGTGTGGACTATGTTACCATGGTGTGGACTATGTTACCATGGTGTGGACTATGTTACCATGGTGTGGACTATGTTACCATGGTGTGGACTATGTTACCATGGTGTGGACTATGTGTGTAATCTGTGAATATCTGCATCTCTTATGTCAAGCATTTCCCTCACTGCTCTCCATGTGCGGTCACACTGTCAGTCTGTTCTGCTCCCTCCCACGTCCCTCTCTCCATACTTCTCTCCCCCTTCCTTCCCAACCACCCCTTCCTTCCCCACCACCCCTTCCTTCCCAACCACCCATCCTCTCCCTTGTGAGCCCCTTGATCAGACTGCCATCGTCTGCCCCAGCTCTCAGCTTGAGCGCCTCTACCCTTCATCAGACCACCGTGTCCATCCGTGCTCTTGCACTTGTGCGCTTTGTCTCTCCTCCACCACCCCCCGATCAGACCCAGCATCATCTGCCCCGGCTCTCAGCGCAGCCTTTGAGCGCCTCTCCTCGCTGCTGCGCCAGCTGCCCTCGCTGCCGCTCTCTATTGTCGCCCTGCACTCCCTCTCTCCCGGTACGTGCCTCTTCCCCTTTCTCCTGATGAATGCCTCACTCGTATCTTTCTCTCGTCTCTTTCCCTTCCCTGCCTGGAATTTTCTCCTTCCGCTATCTTCTGGTGGTAAATTCCGTTGTTCTTACATGCATGATGTGTCATGTGTTACTGGCTCTGCCACCTCTCCCACCTCCTTGCATGCCCAGAACGCTCACACATCTAGGCGTAGGGCCTTCATCCCACCTTATGTGCAAAGTGCATGAAGCACTGTTTCGAGGTGGCGCAAGAACTAGGATTCACTGCTCCCGCTTATGGCTTCGCAAGGATCTATGAGCCATCGTGCTTCTCAAGACCTTCATGACGCTGCTTCTGTGCCATCAATCGTGCGACTGTTCGCTGTGCTCCAGCGTTCATGCCATCTATCTGTTGCCCTCCCTTGCCCATCATCATGCTCGCATCCTCGCCATCCATTTTTTCTTCCCATGCTTCCCAACCTCCATTCCTCACTCGTCCATCTACCACAGCCACAAGAGGAGCAGCCGCCTTCCCCCCGTCGCCCTGCCCTCCAGCCACTGCCGGGGGGCCAGGGTATGGGGAGGGCATGTGGCGTCGCTGCGTTGACCCTGTTCCGGTGGCCGTGCAGGTGAGAGGGGGAGAGGGCGGAGGGCGGGGACAGACAGATGGCAAGTTACGAGACGTGGGATGGAAAGGAGGAGTTTGTCAATGGGGAAGTGGGAGAGGTCGGGATGGGGCAGAAGAGGGGCGGGATAGACATGGGCAGCATGCCGAGCCTGGCTCGAATCGGCTCGACTCGACGACGAGCCAAGTAAAAGTCGAGCCGAGCCGGCTCGACTCGACCCGAGTCGGCTGCCCGAAAATGGCTGGCTCGACTTGTGGTTTGAGGGTCGAGCCAAGGGCCGGCTCGACTTTGGCTCGGCTCGGCTCGACTCGACAGAGTAGTGATGGTTAGTGTTCTTGACTAGAGTAGAAAGTGGGTGTTTGGCAGGCCTAGAAAATCTAGGTCCTAAACAGAAATTGCCGTCGCTGTGTACCCTGAAACCGTAATTTCCTGAACCCTAATAACCTAAAACACTTAAGTTAATGTCTGACTGAACTTACGGAGTGAGATTAATGGGGTTTAGGCATGCTAGGCTGGCGTGGTGGGCGTAGGCAGCGCTCAGAGTTACTGGAAGTCGAAATCCAGAAATGGGCTTTCGATTTCCGGGAGGGGGCGAGCCACACGGCTCGACAGTTGAGCCGAAATCGAGCCGGCTCGACTTTGGCTCGCCCAAAACTTTCCGACGAGCCGAGCCGAGCCGCGCGGCTCGACCGGCTCGACTCGGCTCGACTCGGGGCAAGCCGGCCAAAAAAAATCCCCGGCTCGACTCGCTTATAAGGCGAGTCGAGCCGAGCATGGCTCGGCATGCTGCCCATGTCTAGGGCGGGATGGGCAGAGAAGGGGTGAGAGAGGAGGAAAAGGGAGAGTGATACGGAGGTGATACAAGGGGTAGCTGGAATTGATTGAAAGTGAGACGGCTCAAACAAAAAGATGTTCGCTCTGTGACCCGTGCGCCCGTTCCTGCTTACATGCCCTTGTTGTTGTTGTCCTTGTTTGGCAGCGAGACGCATCTATCATGTGGTCCGATGATCCCGTCCCCCCCATTTATCAGCACCCTAACCCCCCCCCCTTCCCCACTCCACTTCCTCTGCCTCTCTCCCTTTCAGCTGAGTGCCGCCCAATGATCCCTTCCCCCAATTTACACCCGCCCCTCCCCCACCCCTCCCAACCCCAGCTGGAGGCGTCCAGCAAGTGGCCGGACGATCCTGAGGCTCTCCGACTCACGCGCCACGCCTTCTGCCTGCAGATCGCCAACAGGTGCGGTCTACAGATTCGCCTGGATCACCACCTTCCTTGTCCCCATTCCTCACCGTTGCTGCTCAAACCACCATTGCTGCCTCCTCGTTCTCTCGGCCTCTTAAGCTCACTACTGTACGCTGTCTCTCCCTTTCTCTCCCCTTTGTCTCCTTTTCTGCCCTTCTCTTGCGTCCCCTTGCGGCTCTTGTTCTTGTCTATCCCCCTCTCCAGCCTGCACCAGGCACACGCAGTGGCAGCGGAGGCAGCAAGAGCCGCAGTCATGTGAAGCTCAAGGGCATTTTCCTCAGCCCTGTCCCTCCCATCGTCCTTTCTCTTCTTACTCCCCTCTCCCGTTCTCCCTTGTCCTCCCATTTCCAACCTGCAGCAAGGAGGCACATGGGGTGGCGGTGGAGGCAGCAAGGAACGCCGTGGATGGATGTGATGCTCGATGGCTTTGCCTTCCTTCTCCCCCTTCGCCTCCCTTTTTCCCATTCTCCTCCTGTTCTCCATGGGGTGGCGGTGGAGGTGGCAAGGGCAGCCGTGGATGTGATGGTCAATGAATTTTTCTTTGCTGCTCCCCCTTCCGCTCTCATGCTCACCTTCTTCCATCCCCTCTCATCTCTCTTTCTCCTGCCACCATTCCCTCTGCAGCTTGCAGCAAGCCCATGGGGCGGAGTGGAGGTGGAGGCGGCGCGTGCTGCCATGGATGTGATGGTGGGGGGCTTTGCCTTTCTTGTCGCCCTTCACCTCTCATCTTCACGTTCCCCTCTCCCGGTCTCCATGTCCTCCCCTCCAGTCTGCAGCAGCCGCACGGAGTGGAGGTGGAAGCGGCTCGGGATGCCGTGGATGTGATGGTGGAGGGCTTTGCCTTCCGCCTGGTGCTGCTGCATGACTATGGTGAGAGGGATGACTATGGTGAGAGGGGTGACGTGCCATGCTGTACCATGCCATGATGCACGAGTATGGTGGGGACGGGGATATGTCATGATGAGATGCATACTTCCGTTCCATCTTGTGCTCTTTCACAAATCAATATGGCAGGCCTGTTTCCCATCTATTTCTGTATGTATGAAGAGCTCTCTCGCTTTTTCCAAATGTTCTTTTATTTTCTTCTCACCCCTCTGTCCCTCCCTCCAGTCCCACCAACAGAGGACGTCACCTCCTCCCCCTCCTCCTCCTCCCTCACTCCCCTCATTGCCCCCTCCCCCCTCCCCACCCTCCCCTCCTCCTCGTTCTCTGAGACCCATCGCACGCTGCAGCATCACAGCACGCTCAACGGCCTCACAGGCCGCCACCCAACCTTTGGGTCGATTGCTAGGTAACAGGGATGGTAATGGCGTGGTGGTGGCAGTGACAGTGATGGTGATGGCGTGGTGGTGGCAGTGACAGTGATGGTGATGGCGTGGTGGTGGCAGTGACAGTGATGGTGGTTGATGGTGGTAGCAGTGACAGTGATGGTGGTGGTGGTGGTGACAGTTCAGATGATGGTGGCAATGCTAGTAGTAGGTGTGGGGATGGCATTGCAGCATCGCAGCACACCCAATGGGCTCACAGGCTCCATCGCAAGGTGGCAGTCATGGTAATCGTGACATAAATGCTAGTGACTGATGGTGGTGCCAATGGTCGTGCTTGAAGGAACTAGCTTAGAGGAGAAAGGATTGAATTGAGTAGGGAGCCAAGAGGCTCTATTGTACAAAACAAGGAGACTCTCCTATTGGCCATAAAGTGGACCAATGGGAGAGGTTGCTTGTAGGGCAAGCAACCACAAAGTGTGGTGCTCTCCGATTGGCCACAATGTGGACCAATGGGAGAGATTGCTTGGAAGGCAAGCAACCATAAATTGTGATGCTTGGTCATTGGTTGGTTCCTAGGACCAAGGACCATTTGGTTGGAATAGTGCCAACCAAATGTCTAGGACCAAATCCAATCTTGACCAACCCAAATGTGGGGTTGGTCAACCCAACCAACAACCCCCCAATAATTATAATGACTACACCTCCTAATCTAGGTATGCATGCTGTATAGATACATATTTTACAACAGTGCTGGCACTGATGGTGGGGCCAGTGGCCGTGCTGGCACTGATGGTGGGGCCAGTGGCCGTGCTGGCACTGATGGTGGTGCCAGTGGTCGTGCTGGCACTGATGCAGCTGACCCACACCCATTGCACGCACCTTCTCCCTTCCCTTTTCCTGCTCTCTGCTCTCTGCTCTCTGCTCTCTGCTCTCTGCTCTCTGCTCTCTCCCCTGTTCCTCCCACAGGTCTCAGCAAGAGGTGGATAGCCGCTCACCTCTTCTCGTCGCACTTGAAGGAGGGGCGGTGGAACTGCTGGCAGCGCACAACCACGTGGCACCCATGCCTTTCTCTTCACTCCATGCCTCTCTGGCCCTCTCCCGCCTCCCTCACTACAGGCTCGCCAAGAGGTGGGTGGCGGCGCACCTCTTCTCGTCGCACTTGAAGGAGGAGGCCGTGGAGCTGCTGGTGGCGCACACCCTCATTGCGCCCAACCCCCTGCCGCTGCTCGCCCCCAAGTCACGCCTCGCTGGACTGCTCAGGTGAAACAGCAGATGGGTTTTCAGGTGAAACAGCAGATGGGTTTTCAGGTGAAACAGCAGATGGGCTCCCATTCTTGTGGTTGGTGTCTCCACCCTTGCATTTGATTCCGCCATCCAATGGCCGCTCTCTTCCCCTTCATCACCAATGGTGAATACCCCCGCCTGTGGTGTGGTGCAGGTTCTTCCGCCTGCTGGCGTCTTATGATTGGCTGTCGCAGCCGCTCATAGTGGATGTGAACAGTAACTTCTCGCACGAGGACGTGCAGCAGATTCAGGTGATAATCCAGATGCCATCTTAGGGAGGATCTTTTTTGGGTTGACATTTGTAAGGAAACTATTGGGTCTGCTTTTGGCGGGCGCTGCTCTCCTTTCTTTTCCTGCCGTCCATCTTCTCAAGGCACCGACTCTTTCACCTCCCATATCTTCCTCTCGTCTCTTCACCTTCCCTCCTCTCCCTCCTCTCCCTCTCCTAAATGTGGCCTCCCGTTCGTTTTTGAGTCCCTCGCTCTTCTCCCATTGCATCTCCCCTTTCTGTCCTCCCTCGCTTGCCTTGGGTGGCTACTGAGTCGTCTCAAAGTCACCTTTCCTCCCTCCTCTTTCTCCTCGCCTCCCTCACTTCTGTCTCCTCTTATCCCTCCCTCTTGCTCGCCTACCTCCCCATCGCAACGCCCCGGGAAGCTCAGGGAGAATACTGGGTGTTTGGCATTCTGGTCCTCTCCTTCCTCCCCCCCCCCCCCCCCTCTCCCTCCCCCCACTGCGTCCCTCCCCGTCAGACCCGTTTTGGCCTCCGCCTGCCTCCCCATCGTGACGCCTTGGCCAACTTGGGTTGAATTCTGACTCGACTCAGAATCAGCTTCTCTCCTCCCTCTCCTCTCTCCTTCCTCCCTACTGGCTCCCGTGTCCCCTCAACCCATCAGGCCCGGTTTGACTCTCGTCTGCCTCCCCATCGAGACGCTCTGGGCAGCTCGGCTCGCAGCGTGGCGAAGCGGCTCAAGCAGAGTGCGGCGGACGGGGGGAGAGAGGGCGAGAAGGAGAGGGAGAGGCGGCCGGCCATGTGCCTCGCCACGCCGTACGATCGCGACGGCGACACATGGACGCATCTTGGACCGTCTGTTGAGGTCAGATGCTTTTGGTCTGCGGCGATCTTGCATTCTGTGAATCGGGGGTGAAAATCTGAACGTGTTTGCCGAATGCACGAGTGTCCGTGGCCTTTTCTCCTTACCCCTTGCTGCCTCTTCTACCCCTGCCTTTTTCTTCCTTTTGTTCCATTCCGGCCCGCTTCGCCTCTCGTTTTTCCCGGTCTCTGGACCATCCGCGTGTCCCCAACCGTCCTTCTGTCCCTCGTTTGTCTTCTCAACCTTCGTCTCTCCCAATCCCCTGCTTTTTCCCGAATCCAGGCTCTGGAGCGTCTGTGTGCCTTCGCCCAGAGCGCAGAGCAGGTGTTGGCGCAGCTGATCACGGGGGAGGGCGAGGGGGATGGGGGAGGGGAGGGAGCAGGGGAGGAGAGAGGCAGAAAGGGAGGAGGGAAGGGGAGGGAGGGAGGTGGTGAGAAGCACAGGGCCGTGCAGTGGAAGGTGGGTGCAGGGGAAGGTGGGTGCAGGGGAGGGTGGGTGGAGCCTTTCTCCAACATTTGGTCTCTCACACAGGAGAATGCCGCGAACCCGTCCCTTGAAACCGCCCCATCTGAGAGTCGGCTGCAAATCGCATTCTCACACCCACTCCCCTCCCCCCTCTTACTCACTTCTCTGCTCTCGACTGTTCTTCCTCCAAGGCTTCACACAGCTGCCTTGCTCCTCCATCCAGCCATCCTCATTCCACACACCACCTCTCCACCCCTCATGGAACCTCTCCTCTCTAAACTTCCCCTTTCCCCTACACTTTTCTCCCCGCGGCCGTTTCTTTTCCTCTCGCCCCTTCCTTCTTTCTCTGCCGATGCAACCTCCCCAGCCTCATTCACGTGTTTCCCATTCCCCCTTTTCCCTTCTCCCTTTCCCCTTACCGCTGCCCCCACCCCCCTTCCCCCTTCCCCTTTCCACTTACCGCTGCCCCCGTCCCCCTTCCTCCTTTCCCCTTACCTCTGCCCCCGTCCCCCTTCCCTTTCCCCTTTCCCCCTTTCCCCGGCTGCAGTCGCTCTTCCTCTCGCCCCTCGCCACCTCCTTCGACCTCATCATTCGCCTGCACCCTGCGTCCCTCCCCCACCACCCGCGCGTGCTCTTCCCTGCGCCCAAGGCTCTGAGCACCACCAAGGGTGAGTTTGTTTTGCTCCTTCCCTCGCCTCCTCTCCCCCACCACCACCGCCATCTTTTCCCAGTCTCTGAGGCTCAGAGTGCCGCCAAGTGTGCGCTCCTCCCACTCTGCGAAAAAGGAGAACCCTTCCCTCCCCTCCCCTCGCCTCCCCTCCCCTCGCCTCGCCTCGCCTCTCCTTTACCGCATCCCCCCCCCCCCCACCACCCCCGTGTCCTCTCCCACACTGTTCACGTGCCATGTCCCCTTACGCACTATTCATGCTCCTTGCCCCATGCTGAACTGTTCATGTGTCATGCCCCCTTCTGCACTGTTCATGCACGATGTTCCTCTCCGTCCACTTGCAGGTTGGCTACAAGTGCCGTCCTCCCTAAACCCTGACCCCTCCTCCTCCTCCTCCTCCTCCTCCTCCTCTCCACCCTCCTCTTTCACCCCTTCCCTTCACCGCCTCACCTCTGCGGGCCCTGCGCTGCTCATTGGCTTCAATCCGCCCGCCCTGCTGCTGGCGCACTTGCAGGTGAGCTTCTTCACTTGACTCGCTTCCTTCCCACACCCGCCCTCTCTGCCGCCTCGCCTCTGCCTGCCTGCCACCCCTTCGTTCCGGGTCGGCTTTGACCCGCCCGTCCTGCTGCTGTCATACCAAGGAGGTACCTGCGGCGCACGTTTTGCAGGTGAACTGTGAATCTGGCACAGATGCAGGTGTCATTCTCACTGCGCAGATGAAGATTACATGCAGATGAATACGATGGAGGGCAATGGAGCACATTGTGAGCCGGGACCCTCCTAACGCTCCAGGCATCCTTTTCCATCCCCCTTCTCCCTTGTCCCTTCACTGTCCCTTCACTGTCCCATCGTCGCCCCTTCATTGCCCCTTCATTGCCCCTTCATTGCCCCTTCATTGCCCCTTCATTGCCCCTTCATTGCCCCTTCATTGCCCCTTCATTGTCCCTTCGTCGCCCCTTCATTGTCCCTTCATTGCCCCAGGAACGCTTCGGCTCAGTGCTCACTTTCTGGTACGACGGCCTGTGCGGCAGCGAGGTCATCGGTGCCACGTGGCGCATTCCCATTGGTGCATCTGCGGATGGCAGTGCTGTTGCCCCTTCCCTCCCCCGGCGGGCCCAACAAGCCCATGTGCTGCCGTGCTCCCAGCAGGCAGAGAAAGACGTAAGCGGGCGAGGGAGACGGGCGGGCATGAAAAGAAGGGGTGAGGCGTGAGTGGAAAGAGTCTTGTTTGAGGCGCCCCAAAGCACATGTTTGGCCCAGCCGCTGCCATCCCCACCCGCAGCTGCCCCCACACTCGCCTTCCGTGCTGTGGGGCAAGGGGAAGGGGAACTCAAGGTGTGAGGGATCGTGAGGGGAGGAGGAATGAGAGGGTGAGGTGGGGCATGAGGGGGAAGTGGGGCATGAGAGGGGAGTGGGGCATGAGGGGGAAGTGGGGCATGAGAGGGGAGTGGGGCATGAGGGGGAAGTGGGCATGAGGGCAATGTGGAGACATGGAAATGACAGTGCTTCATTGCGATGGCTTGATGCCAAAGCCCTGTTTTATGCCTTCTATGCTCTACCCTGCGTCCATCCTCTACCCATCCTCTACCCATCCTCCTACCCATCCCCAACAGCTTCCGTGCCATGTGGTGAACGTTGCTGCCATCATCGATGACATCAGCATGATGGGTGCTGGCCTTGTGGCGTCTGTCTATGTGCGGCAATAAGGGCGAATTCCTACAAAGTTGCATCAGAATCAGAAACGCACATAAGCAAAATGAACCGCACTGAAACGCGATTAAAACACTCGCAACGCGTAGTACCACATTGTCAACTTATACATATGCTTATATGTAGAAGTTCTAGGCTAGATAGGTTTGTGTTCTGAGAGGGTACAACTCCAACTCTATATCTCCCTTGTACTCACATGTTCTAGTCCATTCTGCTGTTCTAACATGGTATCATCGTTAGGTTAGGTCCGCCCACCCGCTTCCGGCCTAGCCCTAGCCTTCCGCCCCGTCGTTCCCCTTAGCGCGCCCCGCCGGCCCTCAGCGCGCCCGCAGGCCCTTAGCGCCCCGACGACCCCTCTCTCGCCCGCTGGTCCCCTTCGCGCCCCGCTGGCCCCTAGTGCCTCGCCAGCCCCTAGCGTACCCCGCCGGCCCCTAGCATACCCCGTCGGCCCCTCGCGCGCCCCGCCGGCCCCTCGCGTGCCCGCCGACCCTTCACGCCCCGCCGGCCCTTACCGCCCCGCCAGCCCCTCGCGTACCCCGCTGGCCCCTCGCGTACCCCGCCGGCCCATAGCGCCCCGCCGGCCCTTAGCGCCCCGCAGGCCCCTCGCGTACCCCGCCGGCCCCTCCCGGGCCCGCCGGCACTTCGCGCTCAGCCGGCCCGTAGCGTTCCACCGGCCCTCGCGTGCCCCGTCGGCCCCCTGCGTGCCCGCCGGCCATTAGCGCTCCGCCGGCCCTAAACGCCCCACCAGCCCCTCGAGCGCCCACTGGCCCTAGCGCTCCACCTAGCCCTCGCACTCCACCGGCCCTTAGCGCCCTGCCGCCCCTTTCGAGCCCCGCCGGCCCACCGCGCCTCGCCGGCCTACTACGCGCCTTGGGCCCTGTGCGCCCCGCTCGGCCTTCCGCTCGGTCTTCCCGCCGGAGAGTTATGCCGCCACGCCGCTGTGCCATCGTGCCGCTGAGTAACTGTGCCGCTGTGCCGCCGTGGAGCTGTGCCGCCGTGTCGCTGTGCCGCCTTGGAGCTGTGACGCTGAGGTTGCAGGATGGCGGACGACGTACTCCGCCTCGACGCGGAGAAGCACGCGATCAACTTCGCCGCCTGGCTTGTCGATCTCCGCCGTCACCTGACAGGTCAGCGCCAGGATGGGCACTCCCAGGCTGTGCATGTTGATGGTTTTCTTCCCCGCCCCCCAGCGCCTGATCCCCTCCCTGCTGACCCCACCATTGCTGAGCGTGAGGCCTTTTCTACTGTTGCGCTTGCTCGCGCTGTCTGGGATTCCCGCGATGACGTAGAGCAGCTAGCCATTAGTCATGCTCTTCCCCTGTCTGAGCGTCCACGCTTCACTGCTGTCACGAACGCCAAGGATTTCCTAGATACAGTAGTTGAGCGCTACTCCACGCCCGCCTCCGCCTCTGCTGGCCGCCTGATCCTCCCCATGCTGTTCCTAGATCTTGCCGCTTTCCCCACTGTCGCTGACCTCGCCACTCACCTCCGTGCACTAGAGACTAGCTACCACGCCGCTAGCACTGACGCCCGACTCATTGCCTTCCCCCCACCATTCTGCGCTGCCCTGTAGCCAGCTTATTGCCATGCGCCTTCCGGACCGCTTAGCCGCTGCTCGCAACCAGCACCCCGGTGACCTCACCCTGACCGCCTTTGTCACCGCCCTGTCTGAGATAGAGACTCGCCAGCGCACTATCGCTCAGTCGAGCGGTGTTGCGGCAGTCCCTATCTTTCAGGGTTGTGCTCCCTCTCAGTGCACGTACGCTGACGTTTCAGCCGCGATCGCTTCGGTTACCCCTGCTGCTGAGACCGCAGCTGCGGTGTCCCCGCGGCTGCGACCGCGTCGGGGCCGTCGTGGCCCCAAGGGAGGGCGTGGTGGTGGTGCTGGTGGTGGTGGTGGTGGCAGGGACAGTGGTTCTGACGAGGGTCTTGGGCCTAGTGTCAAGGAGCAGCAACAGCCGCAACCGACGCAGCAGCAATCGTCACAGCAGCAGCAGCAGCCATGGGCCCGCCTCCCGCCGGGGTGGCCAGGTGCCTTTGGAGGTGGTGGCCGCAGTGGCGGTCCTCACAGCTCGGCGTCTACCGGCAGCTTCGTTGCAGTGAGCTGCCAGTACCAGCTCTAGACCGGCCCCCTCCTCGGCACTGTGTGCTCCCGCCCGCACACGACCGCCCGCTGCTTCCGCCGCCTCGACGACCTCTTTTGTCGCAGCTTCGGCCCGGCCCTGGACCTCCCTTACTGGCCCAGTCTGTTGCGCCACGGTGTGAATGTTTTTGAGTTAGACATGGATCATATTAGTTCTGCCTTACATCCTCTAGATGCTGACGCTTTTAGTGTGTCCGAATCTTATTACCCTGTGTTCTCTAGTATGCGTAGTACCTGTGTGTAGTGCAGAATCCCGTGCTGCATCATGCGTAGGACCATTTGCTTTGTCTAGCCTAGGCTCCCAGCGGCCGCAGGTTTTTCTGACCCTTCTTTGGACCGGGTTCCCTGGTGACGCGTCCGCGTTCCACGACTGGGACTGCCTCACTCACGTTCGTGCCTCTGGCACGGACAAGCTCACTGCCCGCACTGTCCCCTGTGTCTTCTTCGGTTTCCCCCTTGACTCGTCTTACTGGCACTTTTACCAACCGCCGTCTCACCGCTTCTTTCACTCTCGTGACACCACTTTTGAGGAGTCTGTCTTCTTTTACCACCGCTTTCCCCACCGAGGTCTCCCGGTTTCCTCTCCCCTATTTCTGATTCCCACTCTTCCGGTAGCCCCTGCCCACCTCCCTCCCCGTCCTGCTCCGTAAAGTGTGTCTCACATTACTCCCCTCCCGTCGGTTTTCCCGGTCGAGGAGTCGGCTAACTCCAGTGGCCCTGCAACGTCGCTCTCGCCACCTGCCTCTCCCCTAGTGTCTCCTCATCCGCCGTCGCAGCAGCCGCCGCCGCCGCAGCCACAGCCATCGTCATCACCACATCAGCAACCGTTCGTGGACTCTGGGGGTGCTGGTGTTGAGGAGGGTGCTAGTCCTAGGGTTCCTGTCTTGGCTTGTCCTGGCGGGCTTGGGGGTGGCACCGGTGCTGGAGAGGGTTCTCGCTCTGGGGGTGCTCGTTTTGGGGGTGCTGGAGTGGACTGTTTCGGAGGTAGCCGTGGTGCAGCTGGTGGTCCAGGTGTCGGCGTCGAGCAGCAGCAGCAGCCATCGCCGCCGGTGTCCGCCCTTCGCTTGCTCGGCCTTCCCTCCCCTGACCGCTCGCCTATGCCTTCCCCACCCCCTCCTCCTCGTCCAGTCTAAGGCCTTGTGTTCCCTCCAGTGGACTCGTCTCTGGCTCGTCTTCCCCCTCATTCCCCTCTTGTGTCTCCTCCTCTGTCTCCTGACCAGACGCCTCCGTCTCACGACTGGTCTCGCCGTCCCTCTCGTGCTCGTCATGTCTCTTCTGTTCAACGTTCTCACTCTATGTTGCTTCGTTCCCACGTGTCTCGTCCTCCCCTCCTACCTTCGCCTCCTCCGTCATCGCTTGTTTTCGCGCCTCCTCCTCTATCTTCGTGCTGCTAGTCCTCTAGTTCCTCGGGTCCTTGCCTCCCTCGTTACTGACCCGGCTGTTCCTGTCTCGAGCCTTGACGCGCTTGTCGCTGCCGTCGCTGACTTTGCCTCTACCCGCCGCCTTGACTACGCCACCGCTCTGGTCTCTGACCCTAACCGTCCTCCGTCCGTCGAGGGTGATCCCGCCCTTGGCAGTGACGTCATGGAGGACCGGCAGTACGAGCTCACTTTCCTGTCCGAGGCCGCGCCTCATCTCTGCTCCATGCTACTAGTCCCTGAGGAGGACCCAGACGCCTTTGACATCCCGACCCCTCGCACTTACGCGGAGGCGACCTCGGTACTCTGGGCTTCTCAGTGGATAGCTGCCATGGAGCAGGAAAATGGCATCTTGGAGATCCAGCGGCACCTAAGTCGACGCAGTTCCCCCACCTGGGGTGAACGTAATCGATGGCCGGTGGCTCTTTAAGGTGAAGCACCCTCCTGGGGAGCCGCCGGTGTTCAAGGCGCGCTACGTTGCTAGAGGCTTCAGTCGGCGCGAGGGTGTGAACTTCTTTCAGACCTTCGCCCCGACCCTGAAGATGACTACTCTTTGGGCGTTGCTACACGTAGCAACACAACGTGACTACGAGCTCCACTCCCTCGACTTCTCCACTGCTTTTCTTCAGGGCAGCCAACACTAGCAGGTCTACATGTGCCGTCTACAGGGCTTCACCGGTACCTTCCCTCCTGGGACCCAGTGGCTCCTTCGGCGCCCGATCTACGGCCTGCGACAGGCACCCCATGAGTGGCACGACAGTCTGCGAGCTTCGCTGGCAGACCTGCAGTTCTTCCCGTCCTCTGCCGACCATTCGCTCCTCGTTCGTGCTGGCCAGACTTCGTTCTAAATCCTAGTCTACGTAGACAACCTCGTCTTCGCTACTACAGACAGAGACGCACTGGCCTCCGTGAAGGCTGAGCTGCTAAGGAGACACACCTGCACTGACCTAGGAGAGTTGCGCTGCTACCTTGGCCTGCATATCTCCAGGGACAGAGTAGCACGCACCATCACTCTTAAACAGTCACACGTGGTGCGCCAGGTCCTTCAGAGGTTCGGTCTTCCGTTCTCCTCTGCTTAGTCCAAACCTCTGCCAGTAGACCTTAGGCTCTTTGCTCCACTTCCTGAGGAGTCAGTCAAGCCGATTGGTCCTTTAGCAGAGCTGGTGGATTGCCTCATATACCTGATGACTTGCACTCGTCCATATCTTGCATATCCTCTCAGCATCCTGGCTTGCTTTGTGGCCCTAGGCAGACACCGACCACGGCACTGGTCGGCCGCTAAGAGGGTTTTGCGTTATCTAGCAAGTACATTGGGCATGGGGCTAGTGCTGGGAGGACGCAGGCCAGTGGTCCTTACTGGGCACACAGACGTTTCTTAGGCAGACGACGTCAAGACACTCAGGTCCTCCCAGGGCTACTGCTCTAGCCTTGGGTCAGGTGCCATCTCGTGAAGGTCCACTCGCTCCTCGTCCGTTGCCCAGTCTAGCTGTGAGGCTGAGATGTACGCCGGTGCCATGGTGGCATAGGAGCTCCACTGGCTGACCTTCTTGCTCACCGACTTAGGTGAGCGGCCTAGGTCTGCCCCGGTTCTGTACGCTGACAACAGGGCCATGATCCTCCTGTGTTAGGAGCCTCGACTGAAGGGCAA